TCTCATTGTGTCTCCGCTCACCTTTTGTCTTGGACCTATCCGAAGGGCGGCCTGGAATTTAGTTTGGGTTGTACAGTACTTTGGATGTTAAACTCTGATGGACTCTACCAATACCAGGAGGGAAGGTCGGGAAGTGTTGACCTGTTAGGTAGTAGAAGGGAAAGACATACTCGACCCAAGACAAACCAACAGATTTAACGGAAAGAAGCTTAAGTGATTGCTTAAGTGACTTATGTCCGGGTTCCTTCGGCCCACCCCGTCAGTTGTGCAATAAGAGGCCCCAAACATGGTTTTCTTGCGTCAGTTGGTTGCATCATGTCTGAGTCAAAGGCTGAGTGCGGATGCAAGGCGAAGCAAAGGTCCACAGCTCCAAAGTGCATGCCTGCAAGGCAGACGCGTGCACAGCAAAACGGGCTTACTGGGCCTCTTCGGAATCCCGAGCAGAAATCTAACAATGAAATGCTGTTGCCCAGTTTTTCTTTTAATTTGTACAGGGGGACGGGAAATTCCAAGCCAATGGGTGACCTGTCCTCTGTTGTGAGAAGCTGATCTCACAGATAATATTTGCATTTTGAATATTTAGTGCAGTGGTCCTTGGGAGGGAGGGGCTAGACTGGAGGTCGGACGCAATTAACAACGGTTTTCCCGAACATCTCCCCAGCCCCCACCATCTCGGTCCACCTTATCGGGCTGGGTCCCTAGGCTTAGACAGCCAGGATTTAGGGATAGCAAACTGGAAATGTACTCCCCCATCCTTCTACGTGATCTGCACCTTTAAACTTAGCCTCTTTTCAAAGCGGACCCCGGAGGGACCGCCCACATCCGTCTAACATCACTTCCTTCAGTGTTTGGGGGAAGAAAAAAAAAAGAAATCTAGGAACCGAGGGGTTGGGCTGAGCAGCGATTGGAGAGCGGAGCGGACCCTCTGCTGTGAATCCCGAGTTCCCTCAGTCCAGTGGCCCTGTGTAACTACCACCGTGAAGATGTCGCTTCGCTTCGGGGCCACCTGTTTGCTGTGCTTCAGTTTCCTGCTCCTCATCACTTCTTCAGCCGGACACATTGGACTTGGAAAGGGTCAGACCTCGTTCTTATCGTAATCTTTATCGACCCAGAGCCCTTTCTTGTCCTAACACTTTTCTTCTCTCGCTGTATCTTAGGCCACACCAGATCCCATTTCATCTTAGTCAACTGCTCCGTAAATTTCTTGGGGTAGGGAGTACCGTGTCGGGAAAGGATTTAAGAGAGGGAAGTTGTACTTTTGGGCGCTCTTAATTCTTGGGCTTGGGAAGATATGACCCTTAAATTAGAACTAGGTTGTTTAAGAGTCCAACATGTGTAGTGTTGGGTGGTTGGGAAGCCTTTAGGAACCGTCACCTTTCCGCCAGAAGAAATAGGGTCGCTTGTGACTTGTGTATCAGAGATAGCCGCTTGGGTCTGAAGATTCCTCACCACCCCCCTCCAAGACTCCCGATTACCCAGGAGATGCAGAAGAAAAAGCCAAATGAAGGCTAGGTCTTCTGCTAGGTCACCAACAGTTGTCTTTGGTGTTGCTCAGCTTGTGTGTTGGAAGAAACTGATTTTTTAGATCGAGGAATCAGTGGTTATGAATGAAGGTGGAAGTGTGAATCCCCTACTCCATGCTATTATTACCTACATCTTTCTAAACTTGAATACCTTCTCATCGGTTCTTTTTTGAAAGCTGACTTGACTAACTGGGTGAATTGTAAATGGAGCCCAACTTTACTATGGTTATTTTTGTGTATTGACCTTATTGTATGGGTTCCTCTTGCCGTTGGTGGTGTGTGTGTTTATGTATGTCTGTATGTGTTAAGTGTGGTATCTGCTGGGCTTAAAGGTGTGCACCACCACCAAGCCAGACTGTTATTTGTTTCTAATGCTCCTCATTTTTGTATTCCTTGCTGGGCAGTGAGATTGAGTGAAAACTCAGTGGACCTGAACGAAGTCACCTATGTTAGTATTGATTTTTGATCCCCAAATCATATTTTGGTCATTGACTTGGGTACTAGAGACATGGCAATAAAGAGGATAGATGAAGTTCTTGCTTTCATTCAGGTGTATATTCAAGTCAAAAGAGAGAGAATAGGATAGATTCATGTCAGATTAATAAGAGAATTTCAGCTTTTTTCATATAAGACTGTAGTAGAGTAGGAAGTAAAAAAGCTGAGGAGGGCAAGGGAACTGCCATTACTTGAGTTAGGAAGGTGAGAAAAAGCTTTTCTGAGGTGGTGTGTGGATTTCTACCAATGAAGGAAGTGATAAAATGCACAGTGAGTGCTAGGAGGTCAAAATGTTTCAAATACTCATAATCCTATTGTAAAACAGACTGTTCTATGTATTGCTCACATATAGATTCTGTGGACATAACATACTCACCCCACCTCAAAAAAGAAGAAAAGTGCTACCCAAGGCAGGAGTTTCCAAGGTTTGGGGCATCTTGTCTCTTCCAGAAAGTCTAAATAGCTACAGCTCCTTCCAGAAGATACCTTGGCTGTGTGCAGAGAGGAAGGACTGAGTGACCCTTCCTACCCTCTCCCAGCAGTTTCCCTTGTGAAGAGCAAACACAGCAGTGTGGAGGGGGCACTATACTGAAATTACTAGGCCTAGATTTTAATGTTGGTCAGTCTTCCCCCAGTGACCATTAAGTGAGAGAAAGGGTTGGACTAGAAAATGTGTCCTGAGGGCCTTGCAGCTCTAACATCAGTGTCTAAAAACACTCACTGTTCTCTATTGACTAGAAATATAAACTATGTCATCCATGAAGAGAGCCATGACTAATGTTTACTTCTTGTACACTAGCTTCAGGCACTAATCTGTGCATTTTTTCCATACAGTGAAAAAATGCACAGATTAGTGCCTGAAGTGACTCTAGTGACTCATAGTGACTCTATGAGGTGGGTAATATTTTTCTTGTCATCCCCATTTCACAGATGAAGATCTAAAATGAAGCATTAGGAGTTTACTAGGAAGTGGACAGCAGGAAGATGTATCCTAGAGCCCATGTCCTTAACCAGTGCACCACTCTGGCCTCCAGTGCAGAGGAAAAAACTAACCATTCATGTGCTCATCCTGCCTGTAATAGAAACAGATGACTTCAATCTCTGGAATTAAAGTTGGCCCAGTAGCACTCCATGCCCTGTTTACAGACACAGTCACTTCATGAGGCATGTTTTTGTTAGCTCTATTCAGCATTTGTGGGAATGATAGAAGGGCTGAACAAGGATTGCTGCTCAGCTTTCTGACTGCAGCCATCACTTTGGCCACACTGTTACTCTGCCTTGCAGGTACAGTGTTCCCTATCTCAGGCCTGGCTGCCAGCTCTAACACTTGACCTTTCGTTATTCAGGTTTTACCAGCTGGAGTGTGGGTTGATGCTTTTCTGGTGTCTTTAAAACAATCTTTAGGACAAAGAGCTTGGACAGTGACATAAATACTGTGTTTGCAAATGACTTTTCCTGTTTTAAACATCATCTTGGGGGGAAAAAGAGCTGCTGACGCGGGAGCCTTTGGCTTCCTTTGCAGATGACTGGCACAAACTGTCTTGCAGGAGGCAACTTAGGAAACTGGACTGACTTCAGAGGTTCTGTGCTGCCATGTCTAGGAGGATAGTGCTTAAAACTGCACCTGTGTAAGTTCTTTTTCAAGGGGAAAACAAAAACAAAGCAGAACCCCCACAGGCGTTCTATAGGTGAAGTTGGTGTTCTCAGGGTGCATTCCTTCATTCACTTATTCTGTAACCTTTGTTAGTGAGTCCCGGAAGTGCAGTGAATGAATGGCTCTAACTATAGATGCAACCACCTGCGTTTCAGTTCTAGCTCTGCCTCTCACAGGCATGTAACCCTCAGGAAGCTCTGTAACTTCAGTTTCCTTATCTGTAAGAAGAAAGGATAGAGTTAGCACCTCATAAGGTTATTCTGAGGAAAAATAAGTTAATACCCGTAAACACATTTTAAAAACCGCTATGGTTAAAAATACATTATCAATATTGGTTTTGTTATCACAAGCTGTTACATTCTTCATCTCCTTGCATCTGTGCTAAATTCAGGAGAGCTGGTTACCTCCCCACCTGTCTCTAGGTTGTTATTTTAATGTATCCATTGATTTTTTAAAAAAAAACTGAGCAAACAAAAGAGAGGTCTGAAAGGTGGTTCAACAGAAACACTGTGCTAGACAAGTGTGTTGACTTATGTTTGATTCCTGGAACCAGCATGAAAGTGAAAATAGAGAATTTACACCATAAAGTTTTCCTCTGACCTCTACACATGTGCTGTGGTATGCACTCCCACGTACACATATGCACACACCCTTGTACACAGGCCTTAAAAAAGGAAAGATAGAGTAGAAAATGCAGAGTTTACATATACACCCTCTCTCTTTCCCTCTTCCCATATTAGCATTGACACATTTACTAATGAAGATCTCCAGTTTATATTACATTGAACTCTTGGTGTATCTTCTGTGCATTTTGATAAATGTAATGACACTATTAGATTAAGTGGGGCTCTATTTCTGTTTGTGTGTGTTCATGCATGTGGAAGCTGGAGGTCAACCTCGATATTGTTTTTCAGATGGCCATCCACCTTGTTTTTGAGAGAGGGTCACTCTTTGGGGCCAGGCTTGGCTGGCTGGCTAGTGAACTCTAGTGATCTCCCTGCCTTCGCCTCTCCAGCACTGACATTCCATATGTAGACCATCAGGCCCAGCTTTTTACATGGATTCTGGAGATTGAAGAGGGTCTTCGTCCTTGTGTAGCGAAGGCTTTACAGACTGAGCACTAAATTGGATGGTTTAAACAACAGAGATTTGTATTTTGATTGATTGTAAAGGCTTGAAACAGATCAAGATGTTGGCAGGGTTGATTTCTGCTTGTTATGGCTCTCTTTTCTCTCTGTATTAACATGGTCTTCCATCTGTGTATATTTAATCTCCTCTTTCAAGAAATAGTGCCAACTTCATTACTTCTTTACAGACCATGTCTTCAAACAGTGTCATATTATAAAATACTGAGTATTAGAACTTCACCATAGATAGGGAGAGACATTATGCCCTGTTCAGGCTCTAACAACCTGGATCTGACTGTGCACTGTAGCATTACAAAATCGCTTGCTGGTATCACAAGCCCAACTTTACTGCCTGAGACAGCTCTGCAGTCCCTTTGTTTGTTTGTTTGTTTGATTTGTTGTTTGATTTTGAAACTGAATTGAATGAAGCCAAGGCTGGCCTCAAAACTCAAACACTTAGTGTGACCTTAAACTTAGAACTACCTTAAACTTGTTATCCTCTTGTCTCCACTTCTAGAATGCTGAGATGGCAAATGTACACATGCCACCTTTTCCTGGTTTAGACTTGACAGTTTATTTTGTGGTTTCATGAGTTATTTCTCTAAACACTTCATATGTAGTTTTTGTTCTGTATTGTTTTTAATTCTGTGTTTGATAAGCCTAGTACCTAAAATACTCATGCTCTAACTCTGTTGCTTCTGGAGAGAGTGTGTGTGTGTGTGAATTTGTGGATCTATGGTGGTGAACTTACAATAGTTATTCATCATTAACTACCTGAGAGTCCTAATGTGAGGAATGTTTCTGTCTAGAAAGGTTTGATATTTACTAAGGGTGGGGGTGGGTGGAGGTGAACTGTGTTTCAGACCTGGAATCCCTCTAGTTTTCTTTTGTAGTTTAACAAGAGTCTCAGACTGATTTCCAGTTTGCCATATCATAACAGAGGTTTGCTTTTGGGGTGGGTGGCCTCACCTTTGCTTGTTCTTCTGACTTCAGCTGATTTTGTGTTTGCCTAGGGATTTCCATTATTGCAGTGAGTCCATTCTCAAAGTCTGTTTTATCTAGGATGTCATTGTTGTGTGGGTGGGTGGGTTTCCCTGCAGGCTTTCTAGTCAGGCACGTTGCCAAAGCAGAATTCAATTGTCCAGTTTTGAGGCTTGTGAGAAGAGAGATGAGGAACACCTTCAGCACCTTCCAGTTCTGGGCATCCTCCCAAATTCACTCTCAATGATTCACTCTTCAGGATCAAACTACCTTAGGCAAGTGATCAGCAGCCCATGCTGTTGAGATGGAAAAACGACGATGGTTAGTGTCGTCGTTTGAATATTGCTCCTGTGTGTTCACAGGAGAGGGGGCAAAAGAGTAAAAGCCAGAGGATGGGAAGGATGCTGTGATGCTGTCTCCTGGACATGACATAGCTATTGTACCATAATTCACAGCATCTGTGGCTGCCTGTACAAGGGTCTCACAAGACTCCACTTCCCTGTGAGAAGCTATAGGTAAAAGCTATAGGTAAAAGGTGTGTCCTTGTTGCCACAGGACACACCAAGAATGAGTTCTCTGCTCAAAGGAGATTTATTTGCCTCCAGGCAGGGAATAAGAAACAAAAGACCGGAGATAGAGTAGGAGGGAGAAGAGAAAAGGGGCAAGGAATGGGGGTATTTGTCCTGGAGGGACAAAGGATGACCTCTGGATAGAGAGGAGGCAGACTAATAAGCAAATGACAGTTTATAAAGGGGAAGGGGGAAACCCAGTGTTAGGATGAGTTGGTTTGTTTTAATTAATTGGGCGTGTTAATTAGGGTTTTAATTAAAGAACTTAATAATTCTCTAACTAATAGAGCCAAAGAGAGACTTTTGATTGCTGGACTTCAACACTTCGATGGCTGGACCTTGGTGGTCAGGCTCAGGAGGAGGAAGTGGCCAAATAAGGGAATAGACTTTGGGTGGCTGGCTTCAGGAATGTAATCTATGGGTTAGCAAGGAGGAGAAAGGTAAAAGGCAAAACCTGTGGGAACCATGTTTGCCATGGGCTTGCTGGAGACCTCCAATAGGTATGTAACTCAATGGTGGTTGGAGAAGGAGTCATTCCACAGTGGTGGAGCCATTAGTAAATTTCTCTTCCTCAAGTAGGTAACCTCCCACCCAGGTTCATGCAAGCAACCCTAATTAAATGGACAGATACACAAATAGGAGGGGGACTTACTAGGAAGAAAGGCTTTAACAGGAGGGAAAAGAATAAATAAATGTAAATAAATAACAGCTAGCATTATGATCACTGATGTTTTCTGGATATAACATCAGATTTTCAAAAACTCTTTTATGGAGTGCATGCAACAGTCATGTGTACTGCTAAGTGCTAGGGAAACAGGAAAAGATACAAGAGGTTTGGTCCCAGCATTTGGGGAATTCCCCTTGGAGTAAGAGAAATGGACACCCAAATGTTTAAAGATTCTGTCTGGAAAATGTTGTGGTTCGACAAGAATGGAGTGGTTTGAGAGCAAGCCCTTGAAGAAGAAATGCCCCCTGGACTTACACCTTAGTGCTGAGTTGGAGGCAAGAGTTGGGAAGAAAGGCAGAGGTGGATCAGTTATGAAAAAGCCTGGAGGGGACAGCTTCCCCTACAGAGGGGAGAGAGTACAGTGCTACATGTAAAGAGACAGAAATACTTCTGTGTCTTGAGATTTAAGAAAGTATAGAGTGAGGTTGCAAAAGTCGGTGGGATGCTTTTATTTGTTTTTTGTTGTTTGTTTGTTTTTAAGACAAGGTCTCTCATGTAGCTTTAGCTGTCCTAGAACTCACAGAGATCACCTGTCAGCTCATCTCCTTGAGTGCTAGGACTAAGGGTGTGCACCACCATACCCATCTAGGTGTTTTGTTTGAGTTTTTCAAGACAGGGTTTTTGTGTGTAGCCTTGACTGTCCTGGAACTTGCTCTGTAGACCAGACTGGCCTTGAACTCATGGAGATCTACTTACCTTTGCCTCCTGAGTGCTGGAATTAAAGGCATGTGCCACCACCAACCTTCGAGAGTTGACCTTTTTATTCTTGGAACATTAGATATCCTCTGGAAATTTCCTTACTAAGCAGTGCTATAATGGAAAAAGATCATGGGGCCCAGGGAGATGGGTCAGTGGGTAAAGATGCTTACCACAAATCTTGCCAACCTGAGCTCACTCCCTGGGACTCACATGGTGGAAAGAGAGGGCCAACTCTTGAAGATTGTCCTCCGACTTCCACACGGAGGCGGTAGCATTGCATACCCACAATAAGTAAACAAAATTTTAAAAAGAAAAAAAAAATCATTCTGGCTGAATTGTAGGAATAATGACAATTGATGCACCTACCTGACCTCGCTTATTAGTTCCTTATACCAATTTTCAGAGGCAGAAATTAGTGTCTTGATTTTATAGAAGGTGAGATTGGGGCTTAGATGGCTTCATTCAAAACCCCACATACTTAAAGGGAAGTGAAGTTACAGACCCATGTCTTTGTGATTCTAAAGCTGCACTGTGTGTCATTTCAGTGATATGCTTTCTATTTATGGTGTGGGACATTCTCATTCATCCCTACGGCATTGTTGGCCTAGCATTTCAAATCATTATTTAATCTCCGTAAAAATTATTAATTAGATGGTGTTGTCTCCATTGAGAGGCATGAAAACAGACTTGGAGTGTGGACTATTCATGGTTCAGTCTACCTAGAAAACAGTGAGCTGGGTGTTGAGCACTAGACTCTTAGCAGAGAAAAGCCTTTTTTTTTTTTCTTTCTTTCTTGTTTGTGGATCTATTACAAATATGTCTCACTTTTTTTCCTTGCTATGCTCTTTGTTCATTGAATGGATGTTTATAAGGCTCTTTCCTTCTAGGTTTTGGAGATCATATTCACTGGAGGACTTTAGAAGATGGGAAGAAAGAGGCAGCTGCAAGGTATAAAGCATGGTGTCATTCTGTTTACAGTGACAAAACTTTCTAGCCATTAACATAGCATTGCTTTCAGGTGAAGGGCCGTGTCAAGGTCCCAAAAGAACTAAAGAATTTCCCAATAACAAAAACTCAGCACTTACTGTGTACTGGGAGTTAAGTAATCTGAAATAACTCATTTAGTTTTCACATTTCTTTTTTTTAAATTTATTTATTTTATGTGCATTTGTGTTTTGCCATGGGTGTCAGGTCCCCTGGAACTGGAGTTACAGACAGTTGTGAGCTGCCATGTGGGTGCTGGGAATTGAACTCCCCAGGTCCTCTGGAAGAACAGTTGGTGCTCTTAACCACTTGGCCATCTCTCCAGCCCTAATTTTCACATTTCTATTAAGTATTGTTACTTTCTTTTTTAGCACTGAGAAATTAAACCACTCAGCAGTTAATTTGTCCAGGATCATAAGTTGGTATAGAGTAGAAGTGAGCTTCCAATACCTCTTTAGGTTCTTTAACTTAAAAACCTGTGCTCTCAACCCGGAAGTTATACTGCCTACTAGCCTAAAGCTAAAATAGTGTTATGTTTCAGGCTTGTGTACAACAACCCTGAGCATAAGGGCTGGGGGAGGAGGCAGAGGCCAGGAACTGTCAGGTTTACAAGGATTGGTTTATTTAGCCTTCACAAACTCTGGGATTGGTACCCCTATGAAATAACTGTTATATTTTATAGAAAAGAAACTGAAATACAGAAAATACTTTCCAGTATTTAAACTGCTATTAAGTGGTGGAGCCAGGACTTTCATTTCTCTACTGTACAGTATTGGAGACTTACTCTACCCAACCTATGTGTCCTATATTATACCACACTACTGGCACATACATGCTCACACTTGCACTTCTGCACCTACCAAACTTGTACTTGCTGTTCCAGAACAGATCCTACAGTCTCATGATACTGGGGTCTCGAACCTTCTGTAGTAGAATTGCCAAATTTAATAATAGGAATAAAAGATGCCCAGCTAAATTTAAATTTTACTCAAAGGAAAATAGAATATATCCATGAAGCTTAGTGCAATTTTTAAATGATTTATTTATTTTTATTTCCTGTGCATTCATGTTTCTCCTGGATGTATGTCTGTATGAAGTTGTTGGATTCCCTGAAACTGGAATTTCAGGCAGTTATGAGCTGCCGTGTGGATGCTAGAAGTTGAACCTGAGTTCTTTTGAAGAGCAGCCAGTGCTCTTAACTGCTGAGCCATCTCTAGACCTGCTTAGTGCAATTTTTAAAAATCTTAAATTCAGATTTAATTGGAAAATCTGCAGTGTGTTTGTTCTTCACACTAATGTATGGCTACCCATATCTTTAAAATCCCGTGTGCGTGTGTGTGTGTGTGTGTGTGTGTGTGTGTGTGTGTGTGTGTACACACTTAATTCCCCCAGTTAAGACCCTGGATTTCCTTAAGGGAACAGTTTTATGTTCATATCATACCATGGAAAGATGTTGACGATTGAAATAGTTGTTATGAGTAAACATTTACTAAGAGCTCCAAGGTGTAAGAGAAGTCCTTAATAGAGATGCATGGTTTGTAAATTGTTTTCTGTATGCTCAATGTGGTGCTAGTAATTAATGCCCATTAAATCCTAATGAATAAATAGGCATTTTCTTTGACGACCGGGCAATCATATTCTCTTAAGCCTATAACATTTGGTGTAAATAACTGATGCCATTCTAATCTCTGCGTCTCCTTTTCTGAGAATGTTGGTCCTTGAACTAGTTAGTTTAAGCATCCCCGTTTCCATAGAAACAAAAGATCGCGTGAAAGAGTAGAGGAACAGGATGTTCGGGTTTCATTTCCGGGTTCCACCGGAAGTTGACGCAAACGTCCGCACATGCGTGGCCCTAGAGAGGATGCCGCTGGTGGTGTTCTGCGGGCTGCCGTCGAGCGGCAAGAGCCAGCGTACCGAAGAGCTACGCCGGGCGCTGGCCGGCGAGGGCCACACGGTGCACGTGGTGGACGATGCTTCGGTGCTGGGCAACCAGGACGCGACGGTGTACGGCGACTCCGCCCGTGAGAAGGCGCTGCGGTCCGCGCTGCGGGCGGCGGTGGAGCGGCGCCTGAGCCGGCAGGACGTGGTCATCCTGGACTCGGTGAACTACATCAAGGGCTTCCGGTACGAGCTGTACTGCCTGGCGCGGGCTGCGCGCACGACGCTCTGCCTGGTTTACTGCATACGCCCGGTCTGGCCGGGCCGCTGGTGTCAGGAGGCCGGCGCCGTGGAGGAGGAGGAGCCGCGCGCCGCCGGCTCACTAGCAAACGGGGCAGTCCCGCCTGCCGTCTCCAGGGAACTGGATCCGGAAGAAATCCCGCCGTCAAACCTACCAGCTGCAGGCGCTCTGGAGTCCGAGGAGCCCGCAAAGCCTGCTTCCAGTGCCTTTCCTCCCCAACTCTTGGAGTCCTTGGCGCAGCGCTTTGAAGATCCCGACTCTCGGAACCGCTGGGACCGACCTTTGTTCACCGTGGTGGGTCTAGAAGAGCCGTTGCCCCTGGCTGAGATCCGGTCTGCGCTGTTTGAGATCCGGCCCCCCCCACCCCATCAGTCTACGCAGTCCCAGCCCCTAGCCTCGGGCAACTTTCTGCACCAGTTGGATCAGGCCACGAGCCAGGTGTTGACTGCTCTGATGGAAGCCCAGAAGAGCGCTGTACCCGGAGATGTGCTAACACTTCCTGGCACCACGGAGCACTTCCCGTTTACCCGGCCCTTGACCTTGGCGGAACTGAGTCGCCTCCGTCGCCAGTTTATTTCCTACACAAAAATGCATCCCAACAACGAGAACCTGCCCCAGCTGACCAACATGTTTCTTCAGTACCTGAGACAGAGTTTGCACTAATAGAGGTAGTGGGATGGCGCTCCTGTTTAAATCCCACTGTGCTTTGTCTAGGAAGAATGGTCAGAAAGTGCGCAGAGCGCACTGTAGTAGGGTTGCTAAGTTTGACTGACTTATCATCTTGACCGCCGCTGTGCGTGTCACACCTGCGTGTATAGCATAAGCTGAAGCGTAGGAGTCAGGTGGGCAGAGTTTTTCTTTGGTTGGACTCTCGCTTGGGGATACTGCATCGGGATGGAGGAGAATTGTTTTAAATCAACTGAGTAGAAAATGACGATGATAACAGTTTTGTACTGCCCTTCTTTCATACTACGGGTATTTTTGAGTACAGTTCCTCTTGCTGTCTATCCTGGAGCATCAAACACAGATACATCTTTTGTTCTGAGAACCAGATGTTTGTGTAAGACAATAATTAGGTATTTTCTCTAATAAAATCTTTTAAAGATGGCTGCTGGACTCTTGATGTTATCCCTGCAACTTAAAACTGGCATGTCTTTGGCTGATGGTATTTTTTTACATGAGAGGCTCAATCGTTTGGCCTATATAGTGGCATCTTCCATAATTGTGCTTCATCATATATTTCAGGGCAAACATCAGTAAATACTGGATCTTCATTATCCATAGGATTTTTCAGGCTTGGCTTTGGCCTTGGGAAATGTGTGGAATGCAAACAGGCTTAGTATATTCTATCTAGATGGCTCTTTTAAATGAAGGATACTATAATGGCCAAAAAGAACAGTGGTTTTGGAATCAGTCTTTTTGTTAGCTTATAAATGGCAGAATTTAAATTTTATGTGTTCAGTTATTTAATCTCTTGGGAGTCTTGGTCTTTCTGAATGGGGCTGGGCATTGAATCCAGAGCCTTGTATATGCTGGGCAAGTAAGTGCTCTACCATTGAGCCACATCACAGATTAATTTTCTCATTTCTATTAGACCATTAATAGTGTCCACCTTAGACCAGTGTGTTGGCGTATGCTGTAATCCTAGCACTCAGGAGGCTGAGGCAGGAGGAATGCCACGAGTTCTAGGCCAGTTTAGGTTATATAATTAGGGACCCTGAATCAAAAGTAAAAGGATAGATGAGATGGCTGACTGGTTATGCAAGAGTGCTGGCCTCCAATCCTAATACAGTCCAAGTTCAATCTCCAGGACTTAAACCACAAAACAAGAGGACTTCTGATCTCCTGTGTACATGCTCTCTTTCTTCCTAGGTTTCCCTCCCTGGAGCATTCATGGGTATATTCACACTCAAATAAATATAATTATTAGTTTGGCACACCTTTAATCCTACCGCTCAGGGAAGCAGAGGCCGGCTGATCTCTGGGTTTGAGGCCAGCCCTGTCTATAGAGTTGAGTTCTAGAACAGCCAGAGCTACACACAGAAACCCTGTTCTGAAAAACCTAAATAAATATTTTCACACTCAAGTAAATGTAATTATTTATTGGGGTGCAGGACCTCACTGCATACCCTTAACTTGGTCACTATTTAGACCAAGTTAACCTTGAATTCAGAGGTTAGCCTTCAGACTATTGGCATTAAAGCCATGTGTCACTATGCCTGGCCCATAATTAAAAAATTTTTTTAAAGTTTCTACCCCAGGGTTGTTAGTGAGGTTGTGTAGTTTAATGTGCTTTAGTTATGGTCACCTACATCCTGCCATCTATGTACACTTGTCCTCCTATGGCTTATAAGCCTTTACAAATGTCAAAGGCAGAAGTCAGTCCATTCAGATTCCCAGTAAGCCTAAGGTAAGGTAGCTAAATAGTTTACCTAGCACCATGTAGAATAGCACTGGTGTATAGTGAATATGGTGTTTGATATCAGTACTGTATGGTTTTGAACATAGGGGGTGTAGGGATGGTACCTTGTCATGTAATGGAGTGGATGCCTGAGTAGGTACTGGGGGTTGAAATTCAAGCTGTCGTGCTTATACAGCAAGCATTTTACCCACTGAGTCATTCTCTTTTTTTCCTTCTAGACAGGGTTTCTCTGTATTGCTTTGGAGCCTGTCCTGGAACTAGCTCTGTAGACCAGGCTAGCTTTGATCTCACAGATTTATATCCTAATTTTATACTTAGCATACTAATGGAAGGTTTTTATTTACATTTGCAATTATTATGTAATAATCACAGATACAATAATATCTAAAATATTGTAATTTGATGTTTTTAGGCTATTCTATTTTTTTCTTTTTACTTTTAAAGCCCAAATTTTCAGAATTTATGGAAACGGAATTTGCAATAGTTTTTCTGATAGTAATCTATTAATTAGTTGGATTGTTTTACAATTTTCCAATTGAAAGCATTCAACAGGATTTTGGTTTGGTTTTTTGAAACCGGGTTTCTCTGTGTAGCCGTGGCTGTCTTGGAACTCACAGAGATCCACCTGCCTCTGCCTCCCAAGTGCTGGGATTAAAGGTGTGTGCTACCACCACTCAGCCAGGAACATTTCTTTGCACTCAGTATTCTTTGACTCAACAAAGTGATTGTTTTGTTAGCGTACTTTTGAAAGATTTTACTAGAATATAATTTCTTTGTTTTTAAGTGGCTTGCCCCTGATGGTGATCATCCATAAGTCTTGGTGTGGAGCTTGCAAAGGTAAGTACAAGTGTTTCACCCCAACATCGGGCTTGAAATGTGTTGTAAAAGTTACAGTGTTGGTGCTGGCAGAGCACTGCTGATTGCCTTAAGCAATACCAAAGAGATAGGACACATTTCACTCCCTTCATGAAATTTGCAGTTATTTTTACAGGGGGCTTGAGGAGGAATGTGTCGATTAAGATACAGCTAGAAGGTGTATGGAGTTAAGCACTTTGATGTCATGGACAGGACATCTTAAGCAGAAGCTGAAATTCTGTACAGAGGGACATAATGGTTTAGGGAAGGAGACAATCAGAAGCAGAGGACCTTTGACTGGCGTGTATTCTTTCTGCCTGCCATGTTACCAGTCAGGTTTTCTCTTTCACTGATACACTACGACTAGTAAAACCCTAGTTTTTGAAAAGAAGTGCAGCTGGGCATGCAGCTGCCTGTAATCCCAGCACTCAGGAAGCTGAAACAGAAGCATGGGCACATGTTTGAGGTCACCCTGTCTCAAAAATAAAAAAAGATAAATAAGAGGAATATAACAGTCAGGTACTGTAGTGCATGCCTGTAATCCCAGCACTTGGGAGCCTGAGGCAGAAGGATCAGAAGTTCAAGGATAGCATGAGTTCCACTGAGAGATCCTGTTTTTCCTTAAACTTTTTAAATTTTAGTTGATTTTTCTTTCATAACCATTTTATTTGTTTATATTTTATCTTATGGATGAGTGTTTATCTTATGGATGAGCCTGCCTGGATGTATGTGTACTGCTATGCCATATGTTATACCAAGTTCTTGAGACCACAAAAAAGACCACCAAGGAGCCGACTCACTGATGCAAACATATAAGGTTTAATGTTAAGTTACAAGCCTCGGCAGGAACTCTGTCCAGCAAACTGGCATAGCAGCTGCAGGAAAAGGGGGGTTGGCCTCAATTCTAAGGGGTTTTAAAAGGGAAAAAAACGCAAGCAGGGTGGTATGTGCCTTGGCTGTTCAGGATTCAGTAAGAGAGTTGGTAACCTTTGGATTCATTGACATGGGGGCTAGGGGAATCTCAAAATTGTTACTAACAGCTGCCCACAAGGATGGTTGTGGTGAGATGTTATTTACCAAAATTAGTTATTGCCTGGCCTCCTAGATAGGGTCACTTTGCCCCAGGTGGGCACGGTTTGGGTGCTCCTTGGAGCTGTTTGTGGCTCCTTGGCTGGAGCTGAATCAATCTTGTGCCATGCAGGGAATTTCTCAGGGTGGCTTTTTTTGAGAATGGAGTTAACTCCATCCTCTCTAGTTTACCTTGCTCTTACGTGTACCACACTTGGTTCCTTCAGAGGGCAGAAGAGGGTAGATCCCCTGAAACTAAAGTTACAGATACCTGTGGATCCTGGGAATCAAACTCAGGTCCTCTGCAAGAGTAGTAAGTGTTCTTAACCACTGACCCATCGCTCCAGTCCAGCATTTTATTTGTATTTATTGTATGAGTGTTTTGTTTTGAGATAGGGTGTCATGTAGCCCAGGCTAACCGGGAACTCAGTGCGTAGTGGAAGATGACCTCAAACTGTAGATCTTACTGCCTGCCAAGTGCTGGAATTACAAGCATGTGCCACTACATCTGGGTACTGGGGATCTAAGCCAGGGCACTGTGCATGCTGAACAAGTACTTTACTGAGCTCCAACAACCCCCAACCCCCCCCCCAGCCACACACACACCCAAGAGACCCCATTATAAAAAACAAACAAAAGCCTGGAAGTGGTGTTGAGCCTCCTTATCCCAGCACTTGGGAGGCTGGAACATGAGAACTCCATTGAGGTCTAGGACAGGGTAGTGCCCGCCCCTAAAACTACTAACATTGTGGTTCCTTTTTCAGTTGAAATATAACTATAAAAAGCAAGCTGGGGGGCCAGAGAGATGGCTAACTGAGTAAAGACACTTGCTACACAAGTCTAGCATCATGAGCTTGACTCCTGGAATCCATGTAAAGGTGAAAGGAGAAGGAGAGAACCAACTCTACATCGTTGTCTTCTGACTCCATGTGTGCTATATGGCACATGCATACACACACTATGTATGTATATATGTATGTATACACACACACACAGTGTGGAGGTCAGAGGACAACTTGTAAGCATCTGTTCTTAGGGATTGAGCCCAGGTCATCAGGAGTGGCAGTGGCTATCTTTACCCACTGAGCCATCTCTTCAGCCCATTATTTATTTATTTATTTATTTATTTTTGAGGCAGGGTCTCACTGTGTAGCCCTGGCTGTGCCAGAACTCGCTACATAGACCAGGCTGATCTCAGCCTGACAGAGATCCTCCTGTTGTGTCCTAGATTCAAAACTTATGCTACCACACCCAGCTCCCCATTGTCCTTATTTCATAAATGAGACTCCCAGTTGCCATCACATTACAATGCAAGTGCTAGAATCAGGGTGAGAATCTAGATGCCCAGTTCTTATTTTATGATTTTATTTTATTTTTTTAAAATTCGTGTCCTTATTACTTGTTATTGTTGTTTGAGACAGGTCTCACTGTATGGTCCTGGCTGGCCTGGAACTCGCTGTCTAGACAGGGCTAGCCTGGAACTCAGATCCACCTGTCTCTGAATCCAGAACTCTGGGAGTAAAGGTGATTCTGGGGAATCAAATTCAGGTTGCCAGGCTTGCATGGGAATTGCTTTTACCTTCTGAGCCATATTGTTGGTCCCTACTTAGTTTTTTGAGGCAAGGTCTTTCACTGGAACTTGGAGCTACCAAATTAGCTTTTTTGGTGAGTTCTGGAGATTGGACTTAGGCCCCCAGGCTTATCTGTAGCACTATAGACTAGGCCATTTCACCAATCTCTAATTCTAGTTTTTTAGACTTGAAAGTTTCAGTTACATGAATCAGCTTACCAAATAGTTACCCCATCAATGAGAATTAGTGATGTTTATACACATTAGTGTTTGGGTATGTTTAATGTTTCTGTCATTGCAAAATCTTTTCTTTTTTTCTCTCTAGCTTTAAAACCCAAATTTGCAGAATCTAAAGAAATTTCAGAACTGTCCCATAATTTTGTTATGGTAAATCTGGAGGTAAGATTTTAAGAGGTTGATATGTCCCACCCAACACACACATATACCTCCCCTGTGATTTTATGGTATTGGTTTAGACTTAGTATAAAGTGATACTGGGCAGAGCTGGCTACTCGTATATGTTGTTTTTCTCTTGACCTCTAATACCAAGGTTTACATGAGAGCTGTGCTAGAAAGCCATCCAGCATTTAGAGAGGAAGCAGAAATGGAGAATTTGAATAAGTACTTAAAATTTGGAGTCTTTTCATCCTTTGCTTTTGGTTATAATATATTTTATATTTTCATATAGCTCTTCTATATAGATAGTCTTATATAAAGGCTACAACTTCCTGAAAATTATGATTCAGTTGAGCACCTACTAGATGCTTGGCTGTGTTAGCCTTTATGTGCAGCCTTCCTGTTTCCTCATGGAGGCATCTTTTATGTAATTCATACAGAACTCAGGTCTTGGGATCCTGACTCTTGGAATATCAAGTCTTAGACTTAGAAAGGATTGTTTAGGTCATTGGTATTGTTCCCATTTCATAGAAAGGCCTGAAATCAAGTGTGTGATTTTGTTAAAACTCTAAGAGCCTAACAAGTGAGAAAATACTGTGACCAAGGTGTGCTCCCTCCCAGGCCATACTCTCCCAGTGTGGTACCATGGAGTACTTTACGATGATGCTTCTAGATATGCATGATTGTTTGCTTAAGCACGGGTCCAAGAATCTTCTGAACATGTAAATAGTCAGCATTGAAGCATCAAGCATGTAGCTAGTGAATAGTGCTAATTAAAGCAGTTTAAATAAAACCCTATTTTTTAAATATATAATTTATTTTTATTGTATGTTCATTGGTGTTTTGCCTCCATGTATGTCTGTGTGAGGGTGTCAGAAGCCCTGAAACTGGAGTTACAGACAGGTGTGAGCTGCCATGTACGTGCTGGGACTTGAACCTGGATCCTCTGGAAGAGCAGCCAGTGCTCCCTCCAGCCCCCCAAAATGGCCCTATTTAATCCCTATAATGGGAACCTTGCCACAAGCTATAAAGTTACTGTTTATTTTCCATGAGCAGTATCATACTACCTTCTGGGGTAAACTGGGATTTCTCATTCAGAGAGGGCAAGATGTCTTCAATGAATGTCCCCCAACTTCAGAAAATGTAGTCAGAATGTCAGTCTTAATCATTCATTCAGGAACCACTGTGTACGAGTCAGTGATAATAGGATTGGGAGTGCAGCAGCAAACAAAGCAAAATTCCCTCACTGAATTAACGTTCTAGCATGGAAAAACAAGTAAAATGAAATACCCCAGATGGTGTTTAATGCTATGGCTGGAAGTTAACGGTAAAGGAGATAAGATTACTAATAATTTAAAATAGGTGGCTAGGAAAGAAAATTACATTTGATCAAAAATCAGAAGTAGAAAAGGGAGTGAACCTGGTGGAGGTTGAAGAAGTGTGTCCAGGCAGAGCAAGCTCAGCAGCCCATGTTATGAGTGTGTCTGGTTTGTCGGGTGACAGTAACAGTAAGTAGGTTCGCGTGGCTAAAGATGTCTGAACAAGGTAGAACATGAAGTTTAAGAAGTGCTGGTGGGACCTGGGCAGGTTACATAGAGCCTCCTGGCCTGAGCAAGCCTGGGATCCTCTGAAAGGCTTTGAGGAGAGGAAGAATATGTTCTTTTCTAAGGCTTATATTTAATCTTAACAGGATGAAGAGGAGCCCAAGGATGAAGATTTCAGCCCTGATGGGGGTTATATTCCACGCATCCTTTTCTTGGGTAAGGCAAAAGAGCCTATTGGATGACCCAGGATAAGATGTTGGTAGGGAGAAATAATAAGCATTGGAATTATACTGGTGACAAACTGAAGGGTCCAAAGACCGAGATTGGAGAATAAGGGACTTGGGCCAAGGTGCTGCACGCCTGGAATTCTAGCATTGGAGGATCATGTGTTTGAGGCTGGCCTAGGCTACAGAGAGACCTTGAGGTGGTGGTGGTGGGAAGAGGAAGAGTGAGAATGAACAAGCTTTTCCCATTAGATAACCGCTTTTACAGGGAAGCATAAAGAGTATGACCTTCTGTTGAGTCACTCAGTCATTTGGACATCACCCACATATCAAACATGGTGCTAGACACTGTTAGGAATAGATAAATAGTTTCCACCTCACGTCTGTATGCAGCTAAACCGATGGACAAGCATAACTAGGCATGTGTCTTTCAACAATTTTTTTTTTTTTTTTTTAAATACAGGGTTTCTCTTTCTCTGTCTTTAAGCCTTCACTGTCCTGGAACTTGCTCTGTAGATTAGTCTGGCCTTGAACTCATAGAAATTGGACTGCTTCTGTTTCCCAAGTGCTGGGAAAAGTATATACCACCATGCCCAACTTTGTGTTTCAAAAGTGGTGGCACACATGTGTGACCCCAGCCCTGGGAGGCAGAGACAAGAGAATTGGGAGTTAAAGGCCAGTCTCAGATGGAGGTTTGAGCTGGGTGGTGGTGGCACATCCCTTTCATCCGAGCACTGGGGCAGAAGCAAGGGGACTTCTGTGAGTTTGAAGCCAGCCTGGTCTGAGTTCCAGGACAGCCAGGCTGTCTCAAAACAAAAACAAACAAACAAACAACAAAAAGTTTGAGGCCATCCTAGAATACATGAAACCCTATCCTCCCTCAAAAAAAAAAAAAAAAAAAAAAACCTGAAAAATTTTGACAGATTTAATGGATGATACAAATAAGGAAATGTGTAATTATATATACCATTATCAAGCAGAAAAGGAACATTCCAGAAAGGGGATAGCAGAAATGGTAAGCTATGTTCAAGAAAGTACATGGAAATTTTTACGATTATAGCATGAAATTCTAAAAGCAGGGTGATGACATGATGAGCTGCAGAGATGGGTCTTATCTCCTGAGGGCCTAGTGTGCGAAATGGTGTTTGAAGTATCTTTCTGTTGAAATTACTGCAATCCTCACACAGTTGTCTTTAATAGATCCCAGTGGCAAGGTGCGTCCTGAAATCATCAATGAGAGTGGAAACCCCAGCTACAAATATTTCTACATCAATGCTGAGCAAGGTACAGTTCTGAGAGAAACAAGGCAGAATGGTTGATCCCAGGCAAGATCTGTGGCAGCAACCTGTCTATCAACCTATTGGCTGAACATGGTCCACATGACTAGCTTTTGACTAGATTCTATATCAGATACAACTGTAAGATAAAATTGAGCCTTTCCCAGCTGCTCAGACTCCCATAGAAGAGCGTATAACTGGTTAAAAGCTAAAGGCTGAAGCTTACATAGGTACTTACTGGCTTCTGGCCTCAGCTAATAAGCCAGAGTTGGATTTGATTTGTTTTGCTTTTCCATTGCAACTAAACTATTCTTGTAAGAATCCAGAGGAAGAGGAATGCAAACTGTTCACTGAGCAAGTGAATGCAGTTTCAAAGATATTAAACTAAATGGACAAGCAATATAAGAATTTGTCTCTGGCTCTGGCAAGATGGCTCAGTTGGTAAAGGCACCTACCTGCTGCTTAACCAGATGACCTAAGTTCATTTCCCAGAACCAGTAGAAGGAGAGAACTGCCTCTTGCTAGTTGTCCACTGACCTCTACACAGGAGCTGTTCTAAATTAGTGCTGTTGTACACACACTCAAAATAAATAAAGAATGTAATACAAAATAATAATGTAGGGCTGTGGCTCAGCGGTTAAGAGCACTGGCTGCTCTTCCGGAGAGCCTGGGTTCAATTCCCAGCAACCACATGGCAGCTCACAACTGTCTGTACCTCCTCCTGTTCCAGGGAATCTGGCACCCTCACACAGACCTACATGTAGGCAAAACACCAATGCACATAAAATAAAAAATAAATTATTTTAAAAAATGATGTGCCCATAGAAAGACACAAAGACAATTCAAACTGAAAATGAGTGTGTGCAGGATAAGACTTGCTGGAAACATGTAGCTAGAGTCCAAAGAGCAACTTGTAGTCAGCAAAAAAAGGGAAAAAGCACATTGCAGGCAGCGGGACTGGCATTTTTAGCACAAAGGGTGAAGGAAGGCTGAAGTGTCTGCCTCACTTTTTGCTCTCTTGGTTCTGAAGCATTGTCATTCTAGAGGCGGTGGGTTGGAATTGATGTCCTGTGTTGTGATGCATTCCCACACTACCCCCAGCCTTTAAAGGATAGTCGGGTAGTCACTTGCTAAGTTGCCGTGTATCACCTATTGTTAGACTGCCAAGTCACTGATCACTTTTTAGTTGTCCTTGGAACTCTTATTCCTAGAATGGGAAAAGGGAAGAGATAGAGATGTCATATCTCTGTCCTCTGGTAAGGAGGATGCACCCACCTTAACCAATGCTGGTACCTGGAAGTGGCATTAGACACAGACTTTCCACACAGAGAAGGGCAGTGGGGCTTTCAGTCCTAACTCTAGTCTATCAAGATTCACCTTCTTTTTAGACTCTATGCAACTGCTATTGTCTTCTCCATACTAACACAGTCCAAAGGTGAGCACACGGCTTTTCCCAGAGTTCTCACTTCTCGTAACCCGAAGATGTAAGTAGCATTCTCTTGCTTTATAAACAGGGGAAAGAGATCCATGACACAGTAGGGCTGAAATCCAGAAGTAGATCTTGAGTTCGGGTCTTATGCTCTTCTCATATCTCTCCTAAAACAGTTTGTTATCACATGTCAGATGCTAAAGATGATCCATACTTACACCACCCTTTACCTCCATTCCAGTTGTTCAGGGGATGAAAGAAGCTCAGGAGAGGCTGACAGGTGATGCCTTCAGAGGGAAACACTTTCAAGATGAGCTGTGACATGAAGGCGTGTTCTGGAAGAAAAGCATCAGGGAGGGAATCCACCCAGAACAGTGACACCACCAGGAAACCAGGCTTCTACCTACTCTGGGAGGAGCTCTCACTGTGGAAGAGACATGCTGACGAAGCTGGTCTGTGCATCCAGCAGCATGGCCGACTATGTTCTGCTCATCTCTCCTAAATATCCATTCCTTTGAATGTAAAGGATGAAGCTATCTGATACAAAAACTTGAGCCACTTGGAGATTTACTCCATGTCAGTATTTACGCCTTTACCCATTTCTTCCTACTGTACCCAGGCTGAAGTGAACGGCGATGGGAAGTATCTTTTCTATAGCGTTTTCTAAGAAGACATTCTCTTTTTTCTCTTGGTGATAATCCTGGGCTTCTTCCTGAATTCCTGTGCTGTTCCTTCTCTGCTCAGGCCTCCCTGCTCGCACGAATGTGTGTCAAGAATGGCCCAGTGCTGGGACTCAGCCTCAGCCGGAAGCATGTTTTCCCCGTTGCTGTTAGAGAAACTCAAGCCTTCAAGCCCTGTGTGGAGCCATTTTGTCAATTCACCAACTGTATTTTTGTACTGGAGTTAAAACAAAAACAAAAGATAAGATATTAATTATTTCATTAAGCTTTAATAAAACTTTAAATGGAAAGATGCTATAATGGTGGCCTTTTGATATTAGAAAGGGAAGAAGGGCTAGCTACAGTGGAGGGTGAGAAAGAAAATTGGCCTAGGACCCCTGTTCCTCCACCTTCATCTAGATGAACACAGGGCATTTCCTTTGTTATTAAGGTAGAATCTTATGTTGTCCAGGGGCCCTCAAACTCTCCCATGTCAGCCTCCTGAGCTCTTGGAAGACAGATGAGAACCACCTGTGTGCAAGCCTGCCTTCTCTCTGCCTTACTATCACTTTGAGCATAGCACAGGCCTTTTCTCTATCTTGGGTTTGTTGTGACGGTCCTGTAACTTGCCTACTTGCCTGTGATACTCTCTCCTGTAGCCCATCTCCCTTGCATTCCTCAGAGTAATCTTTTCAGAACACTAATTTATGTCATTCCTCTGCTAAAAACCTTTTCTATTACCGTCAAGATATGTACTCCCTTAAAAATGTTGAGGCCTTCAGACTGCCAGGCTAATTGCTTACTGATTGCTCCTGACAGCCCTGAAAAAGGTACAGAATGCTTTTGATTCTTGTGTCTGTGTGTGCGTCTTTGCATGTATATGCCACATGTGTGCAGGCGTATGCACTCACCTCTATATGAAATGACAATGACCTTGAGAGGGACTTGTAAACTCCTTTTAAGCACAGCTACAGGAATTTTAAAAGCAGTGTGACCATTCTACTTAGGATTGGCTTATCCAAATGGCAATCATATTAGTACATTTCTAATTGGTTAGGGCTAGCAGGGGTGGGTGGGCTAAGGCTATAGTTTTTCTATTGGGCAAGTCTGGACAAGTCCCAGGCTTTGTCTTTATTGTGGGGTGGGGTTTGTCACAGGCCTAGTACTTGCAAGAACTGAGACCTAGCTCTTTTTTTGTTTTGTTTTTTGAAATAGGGTTTCTGTGTAGCTTTGGAGTCTGTCCTGGAACTCGCTCTGTAGAACAGGCTGGCCTCAAACTCACAGAGATCGGCCTGCCTCTGCCTCCCAAGTGCTGGGATTAAAGGCGTGCAGCCTAGTTCTTAACTGAGTTATTAGGGGCTTGTCATGATATTTGCCTGGCCCTCTCAACCAGGGGATCTGGTGATGCCTTTGTTCTCCTGGCATCTGAACTTATGAACACACAGACACAGACACACACACACACACACACACACACACACACACACACACACACCACATAATTAAGAATAACATAAATATTAAAAAAATAAAGTTTCACCAGGGAGCCTTCATGGGACTGACCTAGGCATTCCGCATATGTTACAGTTGTGTAGCTTGGTCCTCTCATGTGTGGGACTCCTAACAGCAGGAACAAGTCGTCTCCTACTCTTACTGGCTTTTGGAACCCTACTCCTCATACTGAGTCACCTTGTACAGCCTTTAAACATGGGGACGTGCTTAGACTTGATATGCCATGTTTTATTGATACTCATGGGAGACCTGCCCTTTTCTGGATGAAGACAGAAGAGGAGGAGACTGGGGAGTGGGATGGGGTGGAGAGGCTGAGACCAGGATGTATAATAAATAGATGAATAAACAAATAAGTTACAGCTGGGTGTTGGTGGCGCACGCCTTTAATCCCAGCACTCGGGAGGCAGTGGCAGGCGGATCTCTGTGAGTTCCAGGCCAGCCTGGTCTCCAGAGTGAGTGCCAGGATAGGCTCCAAAACTACACAGAGAAACCCCTGTCTCAACCCCCCCCAAAAAAAGAAAAATAAGTTACTAATAATCCATTTGGTGTGTTTCAAAAGGTGTAATGTTTCTTTTATGAATGAGAGAAGTTACAAATTCCCTCCCACCCCAAAGCAGCAAACACAAACACTTCCTTGAGAGTCACAATCACACATACGGTAAATTCTAGAAAAGGGTGAGATGGTTTTCACCCACCTTTATCAGTTTTGTCAGAGACTGGATTTCCTAGAGGGTGGAGAGAAAAGGCTACTTTTATTCAGTAAGGCATTTCCAGGTGGGGAACACATTTGCTAAATGATTCAGGAATTGGAATATAACCTCCTCTCCAACAGCTGCTGAATGGTTAATGAGTTAACGTAAATAAATGACAAACTTAACTCCCCACCCCTTCAAAAACCGTAGTGGTAGGAGGAGAATACTAGATTATCCCAGATTCCTCTCTAAAGGTGGAACCAGGGAGCAGTGTTGACAGTTGGAATTAACAACATACTGAACAGTCATGACCAAGCCTTGTTTTTAAGCTAACAAATAAAGTCTTTTTCTTTCAGAAAAGCAAAAGCTAGTACTGCTAACTTGTTTGAAAGCCCAACATTACTCAAAATGGACCAGTTCTAGGAGAGCAAAGGGAGGCTGCATATGCAGGCCCTGCTCTCATACAAGTGCATTGAGTAGGTTCAGGACTTGTCATTAAAACTGGAATGAATTTTAATTGTTAACCTCTCCTTGGAGTTAAATAGTGCTTTTAGTATGACATCACCACCAGCTGTGCAGGAAGGGCTCTGGAGAAATGTTCACACAGATACACACCTGTAGCCCTTTGCTTGTAGAGGCTTCAGGGCAGTACACAGGGGCTGGTCAGACCAATTCTCCAGGCTTTTCTGTGTTAGGCCAGAGAGGGCCACATACTGACAGCTGAAATGAAATATTAACAAACAAATGGAGAAACTAGTCTATTCATACAAAGGCTACTACACATAACAGAAAAGAAGAAACTGCTGATTTTTGCAACATGAATGAATTTTTTTTGGATGGGGGCAGTTTGAGACAGGGCTTCTCTGTGTAGCTTTAGAGCCTGTCCTGGAACTCACTCTGTAGACCAGGCTGGCCTCAAACTCACAGAGATCTGCCTGCCTCTGCCTCCTGAGTGCTGGGATTAATGGTGTGGGCCACCACCCCCTGGCTCATGAATGAACCTTAAAAACATGCAGAGTGAAAAGCCAAATTCAAGCCAGAACTTTTAAAGTGAAACTGTAGGGCACTTAGAATTATCTACACTGAGAAGCAGATGAGTGGTTACCTGGCATTCGGGGTGTGGGTAAGTGGGAAGTGACTAAAAAGGCCATGAGTGAGAATTGTGTGGCAGGAGAAATGTTGATTGTGAGCATGGTGGCACATAGCTTTCAGTGATTTACAGTGGTGAGATGAGGAATGTAGTTCAGTTAGGAAACTGGTAGCTTAAGCTTCCATCCCAGTAATACATAAAACCAGCATGGCAGACACACTGTAATCCCAATGCTCAGGAGTTGGAGGCAGGAACATCAGAAGTTTCAGGTCATCTTTGACTGTATAGCAAGTTCAAGGGCTTGGGCGATGTGAAAACTTGTCTCAAAACAAATAAATAAAACTGTTACATAGGAACATCAAGCAGATGGGTTGCAACAAAGGGGGCAGATCTGCTATGGGTCTCAGATACTATCTGAAGATACTATTTTTTTTTTAGATTTATTTATTTATGTATATGAGTGCTGTGTCTGCATGTACACCTGCCTGCAAGCCGAAAGAGGGCACCAGATCTCATTATAGATGGTTGTGAGCCACCATGTGGATGCTGGGAATTGAACTCAGGACCTCTGGAAGAGCAGCCAGTGCTCTTACCTCTGAGCCATCTCTCTAGCCCCCTCTGATGACGTTCTTAGGTTTTGATTTTTTTAAGTTTTTTTTTTTTTTTTCAAGACAGAGTTTCTCTCCGAAACCTTGGCTGTCCTAGAATTCACTTTGTAGACCAGGCTGACCTCAAACTCATAAAGATCCATCTGCCTCTGCCTCCCAAGTGCTGGGATTAAAGGTGTGCTCCATAACCACCCAGCTCATTCTTAGCTTTTGAGTCAGCATAACTTAATGGTCTTTTAGGACAATACATTCCAAAAGATAGTCCTCAAGATGTCAGTTCAGACACAACAGTGGCTATTCATGGAATAAAGGTAGGAGATAATTTGGCTTTGTGTCTGGATCATTCCAGCTCTCAATCATGAAGTACTAATCAGTCATCCTCACACCTTTAACACCAGTATGGTTTTTTTCTAGGAACTTCGGGTGTCATGGTTATACAGGTGTGCACACTGGTCAACACTAAAACTGAAACATGAACTTTTTTTCCTGGTTTTTGGAGACAGGGTTTCTCTGTGTAGCTTTGGAGCCTGTCCTGGAGCTCACTCTGTAGACCAGGCTGGTCTCGAACTCACAGATATCCACCTGCCTCTTCCTCCTGAGTGCTGGGATTAAAGGTGTGCGCCACCAATGCCCGACTGAAACATGAACATTTTATCATGTATAACATGTACCTTCATAAATTTGATTTAAACACATTTATCTCAATTCTCCAAAGTAAAATCTTCCTGAAAATCCAGTTAGGGTGACTTATTTAACAGTGAATGCCGTGTTGGCTGATGAGGTAATATATAATAAGGCCTTCCAATAAAGTGAATTAAAACCAAGTGCTAGACCAAAATATACTTAAGACACGTGATAGGTTCCATTAATTGTACCCAGTCACATTATGTTGATAAAGAATTTTCTTATCTTCTAAGGAAGTCGTATAATGTCAGAAAGGAATTACATCACCTCTGCCTGCAGTAAAAATTTTATGGAAGATTTGACAAGCTAAACTGAAAACACAAATAGGCGGCCAGCAAGCAGATATCCTGAATTCAAGAATTCAGATGCAGAACTATTTGAGTGGCAAAGTGAAACCACTTGAGTGAGTGGCTGAGATGCTCCGACCTCTTCAAGACTGGGAATTTAATACCAAACATTTCAATGATAAATCCACAGATCATCAAATTAGATTCTTCAAAGACAAGGTTAGTGGATGGAAAGTACTGTTAAGGTACATGAGGAAGTCAGGTTCAGTTAATAAGTAACAAGTCTTTGTGGTATACCTGCCAGACATTGAGAAAGGGAGTAACTGTAATCAACAGGTAACAAATTCTTTACTAAATTAGATACTTTCTCACGTGATATTTTGGATTAAGAATCTGTGGGAGTGAAAACTTTGCTTTACTGGGACAATCAATGCTGGTTAGCT